TGCAGCAGATTTGCCCAATGCAATACATTGTCTGATCTCTTGACTGCTGCTTTCACGAGTGTTGATAGTTGATCCAAGAAGAATGAAGTCCTTGACAACCTCAATCTCTTCTCCATTGAGAAGAATGCTGTTTATTGGTCCACAGAGCAGCTGGTAGTTTCAACCTGCTGACCTTGCGGTTCGCAGCCAGATTTGTTACCACTATGCTGCCAGAGCTGAGAGGGGTAGACCACTCTAATTTGAATATGGGCTTCTGGTGTGGCACTGTAGGATATGCACTGGATTGCAAATCATGAGGTTGGCGGTTCAAACTCACCAGCAGCTCCTTGCAAACCCTATACAGGATTGCTGTGAGTCGGAATTGACTTGACGGTTCATAACAACAACAAACAACAATTTGAATATGGGGTCCTGGTGTGGCACTGTTGGATAAGCACTGGATTGCTTACCACAAGGTTGGCGGTTCAAACCAATCAGCTGCTCCTTGGAAACTCTGCATAGGTTCATTATGAATTGGAATCAACAGCACTTAACAACAACAAATTTGAATATATCTTCATACGTGAACTCAGTAAAAACTTTCTCTTGTAATAAAAGGTGTTTATCTATTCTATATAAGGAAGTATCACCTTTTTTTATGATCTATTATAAGTACTGGACTGCTAACCATAAGGTTGACAGTTAAAACCCACCAGCTGCTCCTTGGAAACTCTACACAGCGTTGTTCTGAGTTGAAATCGACTCAACAGCACATAACAACAACAACAACACTATCAGAAGCAAAGAATAGTTGCCCTGAAAAGAGATTAGGAAAATGTATCCTAAATTGGTGATGTAAGGTATATCTCTTAAAGAAAGATGCTTGTTGTTGTTATTGTTGTAAAGTGTCATCGAGTTGGTTCTGACACATAGCGACCCTGTATAGGGTTTCCGAGTAGCTGTTGGTGAGCTTCAACCGCCAACCTTGCAGTTCAAATCGCTTTGCAGTCTGGCGTTTTAGCCCACAGCGCCACACCAGGACTCTTAAGAAAGATGCTTAGGGATATAGAAAATTAGTGTTTGTATTACTTGTCACAAAATGTTTCATCACTGTATTTACCCTACATCTTTGATTCTTTTCGGGGATCACTACACCACGAATTGCATGAAGTCCTTCACCTGTAGTTTCCAAGGACCAAAACCAAGAATGGAATCCATTGCCATCAAGTTGATTCTACCCTGTACAGAGTTTCAGAGAGTGTAAATCTTTCTGGGAGGAGACAGCTTCATCTTTCTCCCACCTGTTAGCTTCTGGGTTTTAACTACCAACCAAGCAAACAGCGCAATGCTTTTCCCACACATACCTCGCAGTTGACAAAGTGAGAATTCAAACGTCAATTTGACTGACCCCCAAATCTGTTCTTTTGTCAAACCAGATTCAACTAATATATTTTCACATTTAGGTAGACCTATATTTTTTTCAAAAACTTTCCCACTATCAATAGTGTTCTATTGGCAGATACATGGATAGAGACATAGGCTGAATGGATATGAGAGAGAGGGTATGAGAGAAAGGAATAGGTATTAGTGAAAGAGGTATTGTTAAGTGCCATTGAACCTGTTCCAACCTATAGCGACCCTGTATAGGGTCAGCTGGTGAGCTTGAACCACCGTCTTTGTGGTTCAAACTGACTCATATATTTGTGAGTTTGAAAGACGGTATCCATGCATGGGTATTTACCTTTCCTGTAAACACGACTGTGAATGTGGTGGAGCATACAGTGGACAAAATGATGAAAACTTCTTAGATGCTATCAAACATCTTGAAGCAATGAGTACTGGGGGCTCAGGACCCTAGTTTCAGGGGACACCATGGTCTGGTCAGTTGACATAACATAGTCCACAAAGACAATGTTTTACCTCCTACTTTGGTGGGTAGCATCTGGGATCTTAAAAGCTCAAGAGCAGCCATCTAAAGTGTAGTTAGTGGTCTCCATGTGTGGAAGAAAGAAGAGTGATGAGAATTAGAGATGCTTGGAATCAGTTAGTTTAGTCTCCATGACTCTGAAACTAGCTACCACTACCAGCTGCTCTGGAAGAAAGGGATCACATTAAAAGGTCCGGATAGAGTGGCAGAAAATAAATAAATAAATAAGACAGAGTTTACTGGTCAGAAAGAGACTGGGTGAATCCAGAACTATGGCCCTCCAACCACCTTTTAGGTATGGAAAGGAACTCACCCTCTTAACCCAGTTTTCAGCCAAACAGTAGATGGGTATATAGGGGAAACAACAGCACTAGTAAGGTAATGCTCACCATGCAGTGGTCAGTCATTTAAAATCAAAAGAGCAACATTTACCTAAGGACAAAGTGAAAAGGAGTGGGAAAATGGCTGGAATGGTAATAGGAACCACAGGGAGGAAGTAGGGGAAATGTTATATGGAGAGGATTGTGGTCATGGAGGTGAAACAAAGTGTATCATTTGTTGAGTGTAAAACTAATGATCTCTATAAATCATCCCTCAATTCACAATACAAAATTCAAAATATAATTTTCCCACTGTAGGACTGACAGCAATCATTACTAAATAATTAGGATGTTATTTTTTCCTTTTAGCAATGTTGTAAGATGTTGTGTTCTATCGAATCGGTTCCAACTCATAGCAGCCCTGTATAGGGTTTCCAAGGAACTGCTGGTGAGTTTGAACCACCAACCTTGCAGTTCAGACTGACCTGGATGTCAAGTGTAGTAGTAACTATTTTATTATACTGTTGATTAGTAATGCTCTGTTTATGGACATTTCATTTTTCATTAGTAATGCATAATTAACAAGGGGGAAAAAACCCTTAAAATTTTCTTGAGGCCATCTCTATGATTACTTATGTGTTTTTTTTTTTTTCCCACAAAGCGAAGTTAATTTAGAAGTGATCATATTCAAGTTGTCATATTGTTGATGTATTATTAGATAATCAGGTCATCAATTTATTGTCCTAGCACCAGATGAAAGAAACCCTTGTGCTTTGACAGTTCCTTGTGCATCTATTAAAAGCCCTTACTCAACTGAATTGTATTGTGTCCATGTCTTAGTTTCTGTTTTGTGTCCATGTCTTAGATGATGTTTCTTGATTTTCTGTCTCGAGCATCTAGCGTAGTTCCTGGCACATTAGAGGCCTGCTGTATTTATTTAAAGGCTAAATCAATGAGTAAAATGAACATTATCCATTGCATCTATTGAACATTATCCATTTCATCTATATTAACACACTTAATCAGCAAGTATACAATAAATTTTGTTTTGATTCATCTTAGAATAATGCAAATATTTCAAAAAGCAAGCCATCAAACTTGCAAATTATAGCTTAAAATTAAAAAAAAATTTTTTTTTCATATAGTGCTAAGTGCTGTCACGTTGGTTATGACTAATAGAGACCACATAAAGAGTTTCTGAGGAGTGGCTTGTGGGTTTGAAATGCTGACTGTATGGTTAGCAGTCTGTGCTTATCCTACTCTGTCGTTTTGGGGTAGGAGTTTTTTCTCCTGTGACTTTTTTCTTTTAAATAAATAACTAAAATATTTCTGGATATAGTGCATTTTCTACCATAAAAGTTAAATGCCATTCACAATGCTCTCATTTCTCCTTTTATTTTAGGCCTACTGAACTAGATGCACTGGTATTTGGGCATTTGTACACCATTCTTACCACACAGTTGACAAATGATGAACTTTCTGAGAAGGTGAAACACTATAGCAATCTCCATGCTTTCTGTAGAAGGATTGAAAAGCATTATTTTGAAGATCGTGGAAAAGGCAGCACATCTATCAGGTTGTCGTAGCGTTTACTTGCTAATTTAGTTATTATTGGAAAAAAATCCAACTTTTGAAGTATGTATTACGTAAATGTTATAATAGAGAATGGTATCAGGGTTTTAAAACCAAAAACACTGCTTTGGAAGCCTCAAAACGAATTATATAGTGTATTCTTTGTATGTTCTTTCATTATTCTTTCTGTACACATTAAAATAATTCTGAGTTATTCCAGTTGATATATTGTACTCTATATCTCAAACTTTTTGTTTCCTTGAAACATGTATGCTTATACAAGAAAATAAAGCTTAGAGAACAATATGGTTGTCATATTTATTTCCTGAGTTTTATTCATGTGGAATAAACTGTCTTTCCAAAGGCAAGTGATTTGTGTTATATACTCCAGGATTATTTTGCTGGATACATGGTGAACTGAATCATGGGGAAAATGTTCCCAACAAGCATCCATTGAGGAAATGTGAATGTTCATGTGGCTATTAATTCCTGTAACAGAGTAACACTTAAAAGCAATCATCATATAGCTTAGAAACATTTCATCAGAACAGCTGTATTGTACATTTGAGGGCTAGGTTCTGAGAGCTTATATTTTAGATAAAACACATTTTAATAAATGTTATTTCTTTTGCAGGATAGGAAGGCTAGTTTCCTCAGAAATATCAATGAGAATTTCTGTATAAATAGTAATGATTGTATTTTGTATCTTTCTCAAATTTTCTAATGCTGTGTTATAAAACCAGAGTCAGATGTAAAAATTGTCTTTTGAAACTATCTAGAGTAGTAGTACTCTTCCATGCCAAACACTTTGAGCTCATTTATTATCCTCAGTTTACAAATTCCAGGTAAATTTTGGATACTCTTTTTCAGACTGTATTGCTATGACAGCTTTTCTAAGCTAATTTTGTCCTAGTGTTTTGCTGCAGATTAATGCACTGGACTGCAAGGTTGGTTTGAACCTCAAGGTCAGCAGTTCAAGCTCACCAGCTGTTCCTAGCATGGCACTGTAGGGTAAATACTGGACTGCTGACCAAAAGGTCGGTGATTTATTCCCACCAGCTAGTCTTGGAAACCCCGTACAGGGCCACTACGAGTCGGAACCGACTCAATGGCACTTACATCAACATTATTATTGTTATTTTTAGGAGCTTGGTGGCACAGTAGGTTAAGCATTTAGCTTCTAACTGAAAGATTCGTGGTTTGAACCCACCAGCCACTCCAGGAGAGAAAGATAAGGCAGCCAGCTTCATAAACATTTACAGCCTGGGAGACACTATGAAGCAGTTCTGCTCTGCCCTAAATAGGGTCTCTGTGAGTCAGAATCAGCTCAACAGCCGAGGCTTTGGATTGTTATTAATAAGTAAGACCCCCAATTAACTGTGATTTTGTATGATTTTTTTATGACAAGTTTATTTGGATGTTTTTGTATATAATTAAAAATATATATATCACCATAACCGTTATGTAATTGTACAAGCGCCACCATTTGTACCTCACTCTGTAAGCTCTAGATGTTTTTCTTTGAGTTTGCACATTTACAGACATGTCAGCTTGGATTATAATATTAATCATTATCGCTGGCTTACCTTACTTTGATGAACATAACGAGACAGTGGTAATTTATTCCAAGTTGAGATCTTTACTCTTACTGAAGACTTCTGGTATGGTGCAGTGGAATTGGTACTGGACTGTGAACCACAAAGTGGGCAGTTCAAACTCACCAGCTGTTCTTTGGAAGCCCTATACAGGGTTGTTATAAGTTAGAACAACTTGATGGCACTTAACAACAGCACTACTTAGGACTTACTGTCTATGAATTGAAGTCCTGGGTGACACAAATGGTTAAGCACTCTGACTAGCTGACAGATTGGTGATTTGATCCCATCCAGAGACATCTTGAGACACAGGGCTGGCAATCTGCTTCCACATTATCACAGCCTTGAAAACCCTGTGGAGCAGTTCTACTTAGCCCATACAGGTTGCTTTGAGTCCAAATTGACAACTAACAACAATATCACTGGACTAATAACACAAGGTCAGGCTCAAATCCATCAGATGCTCCTCAGAAAACCCATATAGGGTCATTATGAGTTGGAACAGACTCTACTGCACTTAGCAAAGAGGCTTTGTCTCTCCATTGTTGATATGAATTACCATCAAAACACTGCACTGAAAAATGGAAACTTTGACATTTGTTATGGTGATTAAATTTCTTGCCTTTACCTTTTAAATTTGGTTCTTAAAGCTCAGCCTTAGTAGCTAAAAGTCATCACTGAGGAACCAGCTCTGCTGTTCCCCAAAGATCTGAATGTTGCTTTGCTGCCAAATACTTATGTTCTTGTATACTTTAAGTTTCTTTGCCAACTATTTTGTGTGTGTCTCAGCCATTTATATATAAATATAAAAAATATATATGTATATATGTATATACATACATGGAGTCCTGGTATGATGCTGTAGGATCAGCACTGGACTGCTAACCATAAGATTAGTGGTTCAAAACCAGCAGCCGGTCCTTGAAAAATCTATACAAGATCTCTGTGAATAAGAACTGACTTGGCACTTAACCAACTACATAAGAGTAAGTCACAAAGTATTGCTCCAGAATAACAGACAGAGTAACACAATGTGAAGCATTGTTCAGTGATGGTAGCCTCCATCTAGCTCTCGACATTTCTGAAGACAATTTTTTAAAGTGTTCTTTGAGTTTGGGGGAACAAAAAGCCTGAAGGGGCATGAGATCAGGGTTATAGGGTGTATGGGGTAAGGTTTGCCAATGAGAAACTTGTAGGACAGCACTTGATATATCCTCAATGAATGAACAGATGCATTATGATGGAAGAAAATTCATTGGTGTAACTTTACTGCCCTCCTTTTCACCAGTGTAGTTTTTAATTTCTTAAAGACTAATTCATAGTAAGTCCCTGTGATTGTCTTGTGTTCTGTATGAAAATCTATCCAGATTACCCTTTGATAGAGCCTAAAAATCAGTCACCATAGCTTGAACTGACCTCTGTCTTGAATTCAACTGGCCTAGCAGATCTGCTCAGAAGCCACTGTCTGATTGGACCTTACTTTCTGGATTGTTTTGGTAAATCCAAGATTCATCCCCAGTTGTGATTTGTTTCATAATATCATCTTTATTAACTTTAATCTTAAAAAACCAATGGAAATACCAGTTTTTGAGCTAGCTGATCTTTGTGCAATGCTTTTGACACCTATCGAGCCAACATCTTGCAGAGCGGCCAAATGTTCATTTAAAATTCAAAATGCCGAATCATGTGAAATCCCAACTTCAGGAGCTATTACATCAGTGGTAATTCTGTGGCCTTTTCCCACCAGTTTCTGGGTTTCAGCCACAATCATTCATTTTGGTGGACATGCTTCCCTCTCTTGGCTCATCTTTGAGCTCTTCCCAACATTAAATGGTTGGTTCATCTTAAAACTGTTGTTTCATATGGGACAGCATTCTATAAATTTGTATAGCTTCAGTGGATTGGGAAGGTGTTCATTTTAGTTTTGTTAAAATTTTATATTAAACCTGACGTCAAAATGTTTCTTTTTTTCAAGACAGAAAATGTATCCTTTTTTTTTTTTTTCTCCATTTGGAGACACCCTAGAGCCTAAGACTTTACTAAGAGGACTTGTCTGCAGCCATCAACTAATTGCAGAGACACATTAAGCATATTTTGTTTGGAGTAAACCTGTGTATGATTTATTACCTGGAACTCTAGAGCAATGCTTTTCTAACTTTCTCTCATACATGAAACATAATTTGTAAACTATTGAGTCTTAAGTAAAAAATAACACAACTTTAAATGTTGATCATACCTGGACTTTTACATTTTTCTAATCTATTTTTAAGTTCCTAAGACTGTTTTAATTCTTTATAACTTAAGTATTCTCATGGGTTTGGGTTGCTATCTAATTTTTGAAGAAATACTTTCATCAAATTTTGCTAACTGAATTTGTAGTAAGACTAAAAATCTTTTTAGTTTACTTAAGGGCGTCTTACTGGAATGCTTTTGAAACTCAGCATGATTTGCCTCTAGAGTAGGATTTCATGTTCCTTATAAAATTGAGACCTTGTTTGACACTGTAGGATAAACATTATATTGCTAACCACAAGATTGGTGGTTCAAATCCACCAGCCTCTCCTCAGAAACTCTATACAAGGTCACTATGAGTTGGAATCTACTCCATGACATGTAACAATAGCATAGACCTTAACAAAGTTCAGAATACTATATCCTTTTGTGATTTTCCTACTAAATATCTGCATAACTTGCGATAATTTAGTAAATCATCCTGGGACTACATTTCCATCTCCATGAAGTATGAGTGATATTTGCTATGTAGTTACTATGCCCTAAGAATTAATAAGAAATAATGTTTGAAAAATGCTTAAACTTCCTTAGAGGTAAATACAACTTCCTAAAAGACACAGAGACATTATCCATTCTCATTTTTGCAGAATCTGAGAAGCTCAGAGAGAAACTCACACAACTAAGGAGAGAGTTCCTAACTTTAGTCTGATGGACTTCAAATCTCATGCTCTTAACCATTGCCCATCTTTAAAACATACAAGAAGGTAAAATAGCCTCTTCAACATTCAAGGTTTCTTTTTGTATAATAAGGAACGTAGAGAGGTAGAGTCCATTTCTCTCAGTTCCTCTCAGTCTTTGTAGTTGTACTAGGCCATCGTCGACCCTCTTACTGGTTTTATACTGAGTTGTTGTGGTTGTTAGGTGTCATCGAGTCAGTACCAACTCATAGTGACCCTATGCACAACGGAATGAAACACTGCCTGGTCGTGGGCCAACCTCACAATTGTTAGCCACTTTCCCAATCCATCTCCATGGGGTTCTTCCTCTTTTTCTCTGATGCTCCACCTTACCAAACATGATATCCTTCTCCAGCAACTGGTCCCTTCTTAACAATATGTCCGTAGTATGAGAGACAAAGTTTGGCCATCTTAGCCTCCAAGGAACACTCTGGCTGCATTTCTTCCAAT